TCCCGCCAGCGTGGCTGGATCTGGGCTCTGGGCTCTGGGGTACAGGTCCATCCACTCAGACAAGGGAGAACCTCCCCCTACTTCCAGCATCACAACCAAAAAGTTTTAATTTGGAAGTTTAACTTTTTAAATATATTTTTTATAGATTTCAGAAGGGAAAGGAGAGGGAGAGAGACAGAAACATCAATGATGAGAGAGAATCACTGATGGGCTGCCTCCTGCAGGTCCCACACTGGGGATCAAGCTCAAAACCCGGGTATGTGGCCAGACCGGAAATCCAACTGTGACCTCCTGGTTCACAGGTCAACGCTCAACCACGGAGCCACACCGGCCGTGCTGAAAGCTTAATTTTTAATCAAACCTACATAATCTGGAAGATTACCCTCTATTAAACTACTCCTGCTTCTAGAAATGGGACTGGGGTAGCGAGGTAAGAAAATCAAGTGTTTATGTTATGTATGCCTGTATTATCTGAATTTTCTTTCCAAAAGCACTTGTTACTTTTGTAATTTAAAAAAAAAAAAAAAAAAAACCCTACACTTTTTAAAGGAAATTTAAAAACAAAACAAAAAACAATAAGGAGACCGTCCGGGCAGCAGGACCAGCACTAGCGTGAGCGTATGTTCCAGCTGCTGCCAGGGGCTCCAGGTCCCTGCCAGCCGCCCAAGAGCGCGGGGGGGGGGGGGGGGGGGGGGGGGGGGGGGGGGGGGGCGGCCGCGCGTCTCCCTGAGACCCATCCAGATGGATGCCTCGACCACACCCTGGTAACACTCCAGCAGAGGGCCAGCTAAATCGTGCCCCACCCCTGGCCCCCAGGGACAAAGAGATGACAAATGCTATATGTACGCCTGGGGCAATTCATCACCCAGTGAGGAAACTGATATGGCATCTATACAACTCCCAGGGACATGTGTTCTACCCATAGGTGGGAACTTCCATGTTTATGTATAAAAGTGTTTCAGGAACCTCATATTAATAGGTAAGACGTACGGGGACTATGTCTAATACTCCTGAAAAGTAAGACCATCTTTAGCAGACTTTCAAAGAGATCCTCTTACACCTCCCATCAGTTTAAGATCGTAAAATCGGACTGATTCAGACCGCTTAGGTCTGGATGGTCCCCAAGCCCGGCCATTCAGATGGAAGACAAAGGACAGCTCCTTTGTCAGCACCCAAAATACTTCTTCGTCAGAGGACAGACACCCGGCTCTTTTTGCAAACTGGCCGTGGGCTCATTCCTGCCCAAATTGCAGCCTTGCTGTTCCTGAGCCCAACCACAGCCCTGGCCGGTGCCCCTAAAAATGGCACCGCATCTGGCTGGGTCACCTCCACGACAGCCCACGAAACCCGGCCACCCTCCCATCCGGCGGGTGAGGAAGGGGGCGGGGAAGGGGAGAGGGGAAAGAACGGGTGATACAGGTCTGAGTCGAGGCAGAAAGCAGTTGTGCCCAGGATGTCACAGCCAGCATTTCCCAAGAGTCCTCTGGCTGCAGGTGGCCCGCTGCTGGTCCCGCTGCCCAGGGGGAGGAACAAAAGCAAAGGTTCCCCCCCCCAGGCCAATGTCCCTCGATGACTCTCATCTCATCTCCTCCACCTGCAACTGAAGAGACGCACTGCAAAGACCATGTAGAGACTCTGCCCCAGGCTTTTTCAACGAGTGCATGAGCCCACCTCTGAGCACAAGATGAGCATTCCCGGGGCACACACCTGAGTTTTTTTCATAGAAGGACCTGCGAGGCCAACCTTATGGGGATCCTAACTCAACACTAACTCCTAAAATTGAGGTCATTTTTACTGGATTTTCAAAGCGGTCCTCGGACAACTTCAGTGAACGTAAGACCCTAAACTTTCAGACAAACTCAGACTTCTTTACCTACATGATCCCCAACCTTTCAATTCAGGCAGAAAGCAAACCTGCCCAGTCAGTGAGGCTCAGTGGTTGAGCCATCTGGGCCCAGGGCCCTCTGCTCCCGGGGCCCCTGTCCACCACAGTTCTGATACCACGACTGTGCCGTGTGTGTGTGTGTGTGTGTGTGTGTGTGTGTGTGTAGCCATTTCTATAGAATAAAACAAAGCCATGAGACTGCAAAAGAGATAAAAATTTTTAGAAAGTGAAGAATCAGTGAACTATTGCAGGTCCTGCCAACTGGACCTCTAGCATCAGGTAAACAATTTCACAGCCAGCCATGAACAAAAGCGGAGCAGAAGCCAGGAACAGGCTTCCCAAGGCTGCTCTGCATGACCTGCGAGGCTGCAGAGGGGGAATCATCAAATCTACAGTCTTTTTTATTTACAAAAACAATACATGCGTGATTAACAAGCCCTGTAACACGAAGTCTAAAAGAGAAACCTTCCCCGTCCCCACATCCCACCCCATCCCATCCCTTCCCATCCGGTACCCAAAGTTAGTACCCTCATATGCACACAAATACACGAACACGTGCACAGGTCCACAAACCCCCCAATAACAAAAGGCAGGATCATAGTACGGACATGACTGTAACCAGAGGTAATTTTTGGCTATAGAGAATGCCCACCCTCCAACAGGATGGGAGTTACAGTTACAAGGTGAAGCCACACATCAAGGAATTGATGGCCCTAAAGCCGTGGTCGGCAAACTGTGGCTCTCGAGCCACAGGTGGCTCTTTGGCTCCTTGAGTGTGGCTCTTCCACACAAAAAAAAACAAAACACGGTCTGGGTGACGCTATATTGAAGAAGTGGCGTTAGAAGAAGTTTAAAAAATGTGGCTCTCCAAAGAAATCTCAATCGTTGTCCTGCTGATATTTGGCTCTGTTGGCTAATGAGTTTGCCGACCGCTGCCCTGAAGTATGGTGGAAAGATTAGTTGAAATGAGTATCTGAAATCGGGAAGCAATTTTCTGCTTTTGTTTTACCCCAGAAAGGGCATCCCTAACACAGTTAGAAAATGAAATGACGTGCGGCCGACCCCAGACGTTGCATCGGCTCTGGACTCAGGCGAACCTGGGCATTCTGTGTAGAAAGGGGAACTGCCTCATTGTTAGTGGGCACAACAAATAGGTCCCTGAATGCAGGCAATGTTCTGCCCTCCACCCTATTTTCAGTTCGTCTGGAAGTGCCCGGGGCTGCGGAGGGCCAAAAGGAAAAGCGATCGCCCTGTGGTGACAGCCACATTGAGGCCTGCTATCTGCATCTCAGAGCAGAGGCCTCAGCCTGCCTGCTGTGTGCTATCAGGCCACTCTTTCAATGAAAGCTGCAGAGCCTCGAGGTTTCCCACCCCAACTGCTGTACCTCAGGGGGAAGGTGACACCCGCCTCCCTGCCAAACCAAACAAAGCCTCTTCCCGCGGGGTTTCATGCCTCTTATAACGGCTCTGAACGGAGGAGGTGCGGCCGAATGACCAAATCAATGCCCCCAAGGCAGTCCCCACACAGCTCAGGTTGCGGTCCACGCCACCCCCCCCCCCCAACTGCATAAGCCCAAGAGGACAAAAGCTCAGTCCCTAGGAGGGGACTACCATTTCATTCAGAGACGATCCAAAGTTACCCTCGGAACAGGGCGGGCTGCCTGGAAAGGCAAGCTCTGGGCGACATACAATCACATGGCGTGGCGGGTGTAATTTTTAAAAATGTACCCACTCCACAAAGGTCATAACCGATCCGACGTGAACAATCCCACTCATCTCTCAACACAGACGCCCCGTAAAGAGGGGAAGAACTCAGCCGTAGCTCGTTTGGCTCAGTGGATAGAGAGCATCAGCCTGCGGACTGAAGGGTCCCGGGTTTGATTCCAGCCAAGGGCACATGCCTGGGTTGTATGCTTTATCCCCAGTGGGGGATGTGCAGGAAGCAGCCAATCAGTGATTCTCTCTCCTCATTGATGTTTCTCTCTTTCCCTCTCTCTTCCTCTCTGAAATCAATAAGAGATATTTTTTTTTTTAAAGGAGGGGGTAGAACTCAGAAGCTACTCACCCCCATCCGATCTGCCCTGCTTCCCCCTAAGTCTGAGACAGGGAGCCACGCCCCTTCCTTGGTTTCAGGGACCCTGCACCTCGACCTGAACGGATGCAAATGGCCCTGCTTCTCACCCACTCCTGGAAAACTGCACGTCTGTGTCTTCTTCACTCGTGTTTTAAATATATTTAAGGAACTGGATAGTTAAAGGAATCTTGTGAAATCCTTTATAAAGAACTTCTACAACATGAAATTTCTCCTACTCGTGTATATATTTAGATGCTTCCATTTTTGTCTATGAACACTGTAATTCTGGACAGCAGGACAAGACTATTCCCAAACCTCTAAGGACCAAAACATATTTTTATCTGGTCATTTGCTCCTGCCTCTACGAACTACAAATGTCAAGACGATTCGTATCCTTGAAAAATATTTTTTAATTGATTTTTAGAGAGAGAGAGAGAAAGGGAGAGGGAGTTAGAAACATTGATGACAGAAAACCACCACCAGCTGCCTCCTGCACTCCCCCCACTGGAGACCAAACCCAAAACCCAGCCTGACCGGGAATCGAACCGTGACTTCCTGGTTCATAGGTCGATGACCAACCACGGAGCCACACGAGCCAGGCCACAAGATTCCTATCTTTGTCGACAGTCCACTCCCTGCATTCTAATGAGCAGCTGCTTAAAGGTCAGACTGCGAGTGGTACAAAGGCATCCAGGACGATGCCTGTGGATTTCCTAATGCCTCCTGCGGCCCTGCCCCTCAGAAGCAGGAATGAAGGATTCTCCGCGGGCTGTCTGTGCCCCCAACACCTAGCACAACGCCTGCACCCCGTAGGCACCCCGCACCCACCCCTGTTCACAGACTCACAGGACTCTAATCAGCGTCCCTTAGGTGCCCAACGAGCAAACACAAAACTGGCTAAGGGTATGAACACATACCTCTGGACTCTGATAAACAGAAATAAAAGAGAGAACCAGAGAGAAGCGTCGGAGGAAGAAGAGCCAGCTCTCTGCCACAAAACGCCAGGTCTGAGCCCTGCCCGGGACCCGAGCGTGGACTCACGTAGATTTCGTTGTGGTCGAAGCGCTTCTTGAGGTTGTGGATGAAGGTCTCCTCCGTGAGGGGCTCCAAGAGGACCATGTCGCCCACGCCGATCATGTTGTCCAGCAGGGACGTCTTCACCTCCATCTTGGCCATAGTCCCCAGCTGCAGGGAAGATGAGAACAGGGTCAGCGTGGAGGAGTGGCCTCCTCTCCCATGGGTGCTGGGCCCCCTGGAGAGGTGAAGGGCGGGCAGTCTCCCCAACGTCAGGACCACCCTCCAACAACCCCTGTGAGCAGCCTCTCAGGTGGCTACCATCCCCGTCACAGCCCTGGAGCCCCACGCACCCATCTGCTGCCACCCAGGAGCCTCCCCCCTTCCCAGGCCACCGCCCGGGCCAGGCCCATCGTCAGGAAGGGCCACCGGGAAGCCACGGTCTCTGCCTTCTCCTTGAGGCCACCCTCTCTGCCCCAATCAGAAGCTGCAAGGCTATAGCAAAAGAACCCAAGCCATCCCTTTCCACCACCCCATGCACATCAATGTCAGACTTAAACCTACATGCACCTGCCTCCCCCAAGGTGACATCCCCCAAAGAGGTGACACCCCCCCAAGGAGGTGACACCCCCCCCGGATCCCATGGCGACGTCCAGAGTGCCTTTTCCCAGGAAACAAGGCTTAGGAAACAATGCTACCGTGTACCGAGTACCCGTCACACATCCGCCAGTGGGCGGAGCGCCGTATAGGCATTCAGTAACTGCATTACCCCACTAACTCTGAGAGAGGTATTGCTGTCACTGCCCTCCTTTTACGACGAGGATGCTCAGAGACATTCAGAAATATTGCCGAGGTACCCGAGAGGGCGACAGACCTCAATGGTCACTTACCGCCCCAGACCAAGGGGGGCGGGGGGTGGGGGGGGTTCACGCTGGCACAGACACTGACTTTTAAAGGAAAACACGCCACCCGCTTGCACAGCTGAGGGTGCCTGTACCCCACAACCTGCCACGAATGGCCCCGGTCCTCCCACTTCTCATTCCCACAGACACGCAACTAACGCAGCAAAGTAAGAGGAGCGTGCAGCGGACGCCCCTGTAGGCTCATGTGCCCCATTCTGAGGAGGAAGTACATTTCCTTCTCCCCATTACGGAGTCGCCCAGGCAGATCCGGCCTCAGAAAGGCTGGTCTCCTTCCGTAAACCTTAGCCATTTAAATCAACGGCCCCTGTTCTGGCCTGGAACAGCGAGCAGGTCCCCGAGAGGCAACGGAGACTGCATTTGGTGGGGCGAGGAGGCCTGGGAAAGGCTGGGAACTCTGTCAGTCCTAGTTATTAACCGCCTGTGGTTTATAGGAAGCCACAAGCACCTGTTTTATTCCTGATCCTATTAAAACGTTTCTAAGTGCGACCCAGAAACCCTAACTGGTGTGGCTCAGTGGGTAGAGCGTCGACCTGTGGACGGAAGCGTCCCAGGTACAATTCCGGTCCAAGGCATGTACCTTGATTGCAGGCACATGCCCAGAAGGAGGAGGCAGATGATCAACGTTTCTCTCTCATCGAGGTTTCTAACTCTCTATCCCTCTCCCTTCCTCTCTGTAAAAAAAATCAATAAACTGTATTTAAAAAGAGAGAGAGAGAGAGTCCCAGAAGCAGCAGAGGCCGTCCCATAACCAGAAGGAAGTCCATGCTGAAGTCTTTAATATTCAAAAGAAGAAAAACAGAGAAAAACTCTTTTGTCAACCTGGGTGTGCGTGGCTTTTTTCAGTTTCACGTCAGTACACCTGGAATTAAACAGCCCAGGTACCACTGGTTAAGCCCCACAGCAGCAGCACCAAGAATGGCCCCTGCACTTCGAACGAGGCCAGACTTTAAAACAGAAACGAGGCGGGTGAGGCCCTGGCCGCCCTCCGGAGATGGAGGAGAGGAGAGCTGGGGAGAGAGCTGGGCCCAGGCCAAAGCCCTGGAAAGACTTGCAGGGAGTGGGAACGTGAGCGGCCAACCTTTGTCGCCATGAATTAACATTTCAATCAAATTTCAAGCCCTCAGACTCGTGGAATGCCAAAAGCACTCTAGCTGCGATCCGTTCCCTCACTTTGGAGGAGGAGAGAAGAAGACTTAGGGATTGGGGGGGGATGTCAACCTGAGACGGGTTTGAAAATAAGCACCTCTAACCGGCCATCCACACGAAGCATGGGCTGAGCAGGGACTCCCTGCCCCGGGCGGGCTCTGCACACACTGTCCGTCACAGGAGGGAAAGACAGTTCCCCTCAGGGAACAGTCACCACACAGCCAGCCTTCCTCGTCACACCTGCTTCCCCGTCTTTTGAAATGTCTCATGCATGTTCCGAATGGGTTCTAACTGCTACACGCCTCCCCCAACTTTATTTTTTTATTTTTTTATTTAAAGTTAATAAACTTTTATTTATTTAAGGAATTTCACATGTTCTAAGTTCTTCCACTGTCTTAGTTCCTCTTGAGTTTGCGTCTTGAATCATCTTACTCCCTTTTTTTTTGCTCAATCCTGATGTCATTTCAAAGCGGGAGGAGGGCAACACCAAGGCTGGGTCACAGCCAAAGGGCAGAAGGGGGAAACTCCGAAAACACACCTGCCGAAAACCCAAATACAAAACCATAAACCAGCCGACAAGGTGGCATCGGCGCCCACAGGGGGTCAGTCCAGCGCCGTGGTGTGTGCTGTGCTTGTCCTTTCGGCATCTGGGCGGAGGACAGTGACCCGCGCACCTCCTCCCGGGGACGGTGGTGTGGGATGCTGAGAAACCGGGCCCAGGTCCCGCCCGGCGTCCTGCAAATGGGCTGACTGCTAGCTCCAGCCGTGGTCTGATCACAAGGGTGCAAAGATACCATTAAAAAACGGAAAGCGTCATTTCCCAAACTCCTCAAAATCCAGAAGAACGCAGCATAAACATCACGCACCACCTTACCACGGCCATCTGTGAGCTAACACGTACATACACACAGTTCAACGCCGTCACCCACCTCAAACCACAAGTCACCTGCCACGCTAACGTCATCCGCGCTCAGGAATGTTAAGACCAGCATGTCCCAACCCAATGGTCCCACACAAAAGATGCCAAATGAGACGCACATCTGTGTGAAGTGCAAGGCCATTCTACTATTTGTTTTTATATATTTTATAGTTAGAGAATTAGAAACATCCATGAGAGAGAAACACCTATCAGCTGCTTCCTGCACACTCCCTCCTGGGGATGTGCCCACAACCAAGGTACATGCAATTGACCGGAATCTACCCTGCGACCCTTCAGTCCGCAGGCCGATGCTCTATCCACTGAGCCAAACCGGTTAGGGCAACAAATGTGTATTTTTAAGTTGAAACGGTTTTACTATAGAATTTGAAAGAACATTCACACATCAGACCTGAGGGTGCAATGAAGACAAGGATCAATACTAAGTCATGAACATGATTTTAAACTTGAAAGGACTGCCGAAACCGGTTTGGCTCAGTGGATAGAGAGTCGGCCTGAGAACTGAAAGGTCCCGGGTTCGATTCTGGTCAAGGGCATGTACCTTAGTTGCGGGCACATCCTCAGTAGCGGGTGTGCAGGAGGCAGCTGATCGATGAGTCTCTCTCATTGATGTTTCTAACTCTCTATCCCTCTCTCCCTCTCTGCAAAAAATCAATAAAATATATTTTAAAAAAATAAACTTGAAGGGACTTTGAAAGCAAAGCCTTAAGAGCCACAATTTCCTGACAGCAGGTGCTGCTGCTTTGGGAACTGCGAATGAGGCCATTTCCACATCCAGGTAAGGCCGCTGGCACTGGACATCGGGGACAGGACCTCCAGGAGTCCTCTCTGCATACAACCCAACCCCGTCTCCATTTGCACGCATTTCCCTCCGGGGTGGTGAGTAGCACCTTCTTCATTGTCATTTCCCCAAAGGTGAGGTGCCCAACCTCTCGCACGGGGCAGGCATTCAGAGAAGCACAAGCATGCAGATTTCCAACGGTTTAGTGAGTCCTCTGATCATGCACATCCCCCCAGCTGCCCCCGCCGGGCCCGGCGGGTCAGGCCGAGCGGAGCCAAATGATCCGGCAGCGTCCAGCCCCTTTGATCCGTTCCTCGGAGCACATGACGCTATCCACAAAGGGCAGGAAACGGAACCGAGCCATTTGGCTCCCAAGGATGAGATCACGAAGGCTTTTAAGAATAACATGAGAAACGCATTGGAGGAAGAAAGCAGGGCCAACGTGGCATGATTTCGTGGACAAAAAAACAAACCTTAGCAAACCCTGCTGGGAAGGCCAAGGCAAACGGGGGCCGGGTCTATAGGCTGCAAGTCAGTACCCGACGGAATGAGCTGAGCGGCTGAGGAAACCTGGGATTTCCTCCCTAGCTCTCTGACAGCAGCACAAACCTCATCTTGGAGAGCAGCGGGATTAAATGTCCATGCGACTGGGCTCACCCACCGTGTACAGCACATGTGTCAAACACAAGGCCCGAGGGCCAAAACCGTCCCTCCAGGCCTTGCAATGTGGCCCGCACCGCGCTGTCATCACTGCACTCCGCTGCGTTTCCATCACAATGACAGTTTATGACTGTTCAGTAAACCATTCGGCCGGCGATTTAGGCTGGATTTTAGATTTTTGGCCCCTTCTCTGATTGAGTTCGACACCCCTAGTGTACAGTGAGTCCTGTTGCCCTCTGGGACGGTGTTAAGTGCTGGGGGACAGGGCAGGAGTAATCGGGGTGCTTCCCTGGCCGGTGCCAACCCCCGGCAGCTCCCAGTCCAGGGAGACAGCCAAGAAAAGAAGCAAGTTTGGAAATTTCAAGTGATTTCTCTAATGATGAAAAAAAAAAAAATCCATGTTGAGCAAAAGAAGAATAAAAGCATAACTCAACACACACTCACGCTTTTAGTCCCATGGTTGGCAAACAGCCGCTTGCGAGCCACATGCGGCTCTTTGGCCCCTTGAGTGTGGCTCTTCCACAAAACACCACGGCCTGGGCGAGTCTATTTTGAAGAAGTGGCACTAGAAGAAGTTCAAATTTAAAAAATGTGCCTCTCCAAAGAAATTTCTATCGTTATCCTGTTGATATTTGGCTCTGTTGACTAATGAGTCTGCCAACCCCTGCTTTAGTCTAAAAAATCCTTTGCATTCATTAGAATCCTCGTGCAACCTGATTCTGCT